TTCCTCTTTTGGGTGCAAACAAGAGAGGAGGATTAATCTTCACTTGCCTAAACACTTCAATGATTTCATTCACTTTGCCTTGTTGTTTTTCAAGAGAATTGGATCCTTTTAAGGCATCCGAAAATGGAGCTTTTGGCTCATAAACCTTTTCAAAATTCTTTTTGGAATTACTTTCAACACAAGAATTTTTCAAAACTTTGTCAACAAAAGGATCATGTACGTGCAATGAAGGAGGAATAGAATGTGAGATGGGACGGGTGTCAACTTTTGGTTGCACTGGTTCACTCTCTTTATTTTGAATACCAATTTGATTGTCAATAAATTTTGCACTTCTCAAGGTCACTACCGCATTGACATGCTCAATCGTGTGACCTTTCGACGAGGAATTGGTCTCCACAACAAATTATTGCTTGGGAGGTAGATTCAAAGGCATCTTCCCCTTTTCCCTAGCATTTAGAGTACTAGTTATTTGCCCAACTTGGGTTTCTAGCTTCGCAATGGATTGAGAATAGGAATGAAGTAATTGGGTGTTTGCCTCCACCGTACCCAAAGTAGTCAACACTTTTTCCTCAAAAGCGGGACTCCTAGAATTTCCTTGAGAATAAGATGGTTGATGAGGAAAATGAGAGTTAGAAAATTGGTTTCCATGTGATGATTGAAAAGATGATCTATAACCTTGGGAACCTTGGATTTGCATTGGGGGTGGAACATGCTTGCCTTGAAAACCACCTTGGGAGGGTTTGAGCCTTCCCCTTAGCTTTTCCAAGAGAAGTTTGGATAGTTTCTCCACCCGGGATTGTAATGTGTGCCATAGGGATTATTCCTTTGGTTGACAAATGCGGTATTTACTTGTTCGTGGTTCTCATTTTGCACATGTCCATGGGGACAATTGGAAGTAAAATGTAAGACACTAGAACAAGTCATTCAAGATTCATTAAAATTGTGATAATGATGATTAGGGGAGGAAGACACTTGATTCACCGAATTTTGGTTGATCAAAAATTGATCAAACCTTTGAGATAAAGACTTGACTTCGGCAGCTATGTCATTGGAATTGTCAACTTGATATAAGCCAACATTCTTTCTTCCACCTAGATTTCTACCATTGTTGGAAGACAAGGATCGATGCATTGAATTCTCACTCATGCTCTCATTTAATCGTTAAATATCATCCTCAAGCCTATCAAGATATGAACCACCCATGGAAGCATTTACCATTCCTTTAAAATTATCCGACAAACTTTCAAAGAAAAATTGCACTAATTGCCATTTAGAAATGTCATGATTTGAACACTTCCTAAGTAAGTCATTGAGGTGCTCCCATGCCTTGTGAAATAATTCCCCATCCCCTTGAGAAAATTCTCGAATTGAGGTTCTCATTGCATTGGTCTTTAAAACCGGATAGTACTTCTTTAAGAACTCTTGAAGTTATCAAAAAAGGCCTAAGGTTGTTGAACAAATATTTCACCTTATCTTTAAGGGTGAACGGGAAGAGTTTTAGTCTCAAAACCTCTTCTGGCATGTCCATGTATTTCACGGTGGAACATACTTCAAAAAACTCATCCAAATGCTTGTAAGGTTCTTCACTTGGAAGTCCATGATAGTTGGGAAGCATTTGGATAGTTTGCGATTTAATTTCATGGTGATGTGCTCTAAATGGGGGCAATTGAATACATGTAGGTGCATTATATTCATTTGGCATATAATGGTCACGCAAAGCAATGAGAGGATTCACAACCTGGTGGTGCTACATAAGCACCTTGATTAACTTGAGCAACAGGAGGTTGTGGAGCAAAAATTAGCAGAGGCATTCCCAATGGAACTTGGCCTTGTTGTTGTGGTGGAATGAAAGGTCTTAGCATACCTAATGGTACTTGAATGTTGCCATGATGCATATTAGGGTGGAGGATACCTTGTTGGTCTATGTGACCAAGGTCCTTCACACGGTCCTCATTGATGTCTTCCATTGATGAAATGGAATGACTAGAATTACCCCTTCCTTTAGAATTACGAACAATGGATTCTAGATTCAAATTAAGTGGGACAGAAGTAGGATTTAACGATTTACGACCATGCATACACAAACACAACAACTAGAAACAAGCAATTAGCAAACACTTTGCCTCCACAACAAATCAACAATCAACAATTCTCCACATACGATAATCCCATACTCCCATGCTTTGAACAATATGCGAGAAAAATTAAATTGCCTCCACATGGGCTCACGATCTATCTAAGAAAATAAAGACTTGCCTCCACGCGGGCTCATAATTTAACTAGAGAAAAAGTTTAGAAAAGCTTACAAATGATCCTTAAGTAATTTCAAATTAATTTCAATTTTTGCCTTGCTTTGCCTTGCAATTTTTTAGATTTTAGCTTTTTATGCTTAGCTTAGCTTGGCTCTTTGCTTTTGCAATTCCCCTTTGCTTCACTTCCCTTGGCTATCACCTAGCCAATCAAGAATAAACACAATAAGTAACCAAAGTAAAATAAAATAAAGACACTAAGGATACCAAAGGCGGCATGGATCGGATCCAATCCACATGATGAATAATGGGCCTGATAATTAACTTGGGCCCGAACCAAGCTTTCATAAGGCAGGCCCAATGCTGAAGAGTGAAGCTGAAAGCCCCTGAAGATAATCAGGCCCATTATTGTAAAAGCCTCGAGGATGAGCCCAATGGAAGAAGTTAGTTAGGGATCTTCTAGGAAACTGTAAATAGCCTATAAATAGAAGGAAAAGAGAGTGAAAAAGGGGAGGAAAATTTCTTAAAGTGTAACGAAACTCTGTCAAAATAGAGAGAGAAAATTCTTGCATCTTTAATGGCGCCGTTTGTGGGAACTCAATGAGGATTGATTGATGTTTAATTCAGATTGATTCGATCCAGTGTAGTTCATGAAGACGAAGCTTGATCGCTAAAGGCTGAATCAAAATTGGTGAAATCGTGATTTGTCTGGCCAAATCTCGATTCCAGTTGATTTTGAGAGGTTGGCATTCGATCTACACAGTTCTGATTTGTACTTGTTCTGGTGAGCTGTGCAGTTGAGATTTGTTGAGATTGCTAAATTTGGCGAGTTCGTTCTTGGAGCAATTCAGATCTAGCCAATTATGGTCGAAATTCAGCTAAGCTTGAATCCAGATCTAGTGCGTTCGCATTAGCGAAGTTCAGATCTAATCAGAAATTTGCGGTTAATGACTTTGCTAAGATCCGGAATGATGATCAAAGGAGAGAGTTCGAATCTAGTGGAGAATGGCCAGCAGATGAAGCTTGATGAACTGATGAGCATGATTGAAGCTCGGAGAAAAAAAAATGCAGAATTGAGAGCTAGAATGGAGCGCCGAGAAGTTCCGGTTGCACTGCTATCGCCTCCGGTGGGTGAAAGAGGTGTGCAGCCTGATGAAGCATATCAAGGTGAGCAAGAGGGGTATAACCACGAGGATCTTCACTGCTAGGAGGTCAGGATGGAGAATTTACCGCCAAATGCTCGTCGAGTTGAAGATCGAGAAGGATCTATACATCTAGATCCACATCGTGAGCAGATCAGGAAGGAAGAAGCTACAACTTTCAATCTATATCAGGAAAGGCACAATCACGAATAGGATATGGAGTTTGATTATCACAAGATAAACTCACCGTGGCAGAAGGAGTTCACTGAGGAAAAGTCATTCAATCCACCTTATCGACCTTCAATGGCTACATATGATTATAGGAGCTCGGAAAAAAAACCTACAGATCAAAGAATCATCACAAGGTTTCAAAGAGAGAATGAGGCCCTACGTTCGGCAGCACAGATGGTTGATTTGTCATTTACTGACGAGGTCCTGAATGCTCTGAGCCCGAGGAAGTTTTCCAGGCCTGTTTTCATTCTGTTCGACGGAACAACCGATCCAATTGATCATGTATATCACATTAAGTTGAAGATGGCACTAAACACGGAGAATGATCCCTTGATGTGCAATTGTTTTCCTACAAGCTTAGTTGGACCGACGCTCAACTGGTTCAAGAAACCTGCCGAGGGGCTCAGTGGACAGTTTCCGTAGTTTGTGTGATCGGTTTATAAGCCAGTATTATAGGAATAAGCGCCCAACAAAAGATATCTCTAGTCTGTTCACTATGAAGCAGCATGAGGATGAGCGTCTCCAAGCCTTTCTTACCAGGTTTAACCTAACCAAGAGCATGGTGATAGAGTGCCATCCTTCCACAACAGTTCAAGCGTTTAAATTAGCAATGACTCGTGGAACACTGTTCCACACAAGCCTAGTGGTGAACACACCACAGACCATAGACGAACTGAACGAGAGAGCTGGCGGTTTCGTGTGTTTGGAAGAAGAAGAAGTAGCTAACGCTAGGAAGACATCTATTATCTCCATAGAAGAGAAGTCCAAAGCCAAGATTCGGCAAAAATAAGCTCCATCGCAGTGTCAGAGGTCCTGGAAGGCAGAGAAGAGGCCTAGAGAGGATGAGTTGATTATTCCACTCAAGGTTACGCTGGCAAGGCTATACCAAGAAAACAAAGATAAGTTTCGCCCCCCTTTGCCAATCAGCCAACCTCTTGAACAGAGAGATTAATTTAAACATTGTGCTTTTCATAGTGATTTTGGTCACCAGACTAATGAATGCAGGAACCTAAGGAAGCAAGTGGAGATGCTGATTGCCAGGGGAGAGTTTGCAGGATATGTTCAAAGGCTAGCACAAGAGCAGAATCGACCAATTGAGCAAGTCAAGAGAAATCAAAAGTCGAACCACCATAACGCTTAGCCCGTTTGGATTGTAAATGTAATTCATTGTCGACCACAGACCGAAGAATCTGAAGAATTGCTCCAAACACGTCTTCGCTAAGCACAAATGAAGAGGAGAATAGGCAGTGTCAACACTCTGCACCAGCAGAGTGCATCAACGCAGATAAGATTCAATAAAACAGACCTGATGCAAGTTTAGATTCCTTATGAAGACCCCCTGGTCATTAGTTTGACAGTGGTAGAGTATTTGGTATGAATGGTGCTAATTGATCCAGGGAGCAGTGCCAATATTATGCCTAGGGTCACCTTCAATCGGCTGGAAATCAAGCCAAAAGAGCTCAAATGTACTGGGAATCCATTGTTAGGATTTGATAGAAAATGAGTTGAACCAATTGGCACAGTAGAATTGCTGGTCCGGGCAGCCGAAAGGGAGCTTGTCGAAAGCTTTGTGGTGGTGGAGATCCATCCCTCTTACAATCTGTTGATAGGGAGAGGGTGGATTCATAGGGTACAGGAGGTCCCATCAACCCTGCACCAAGTGATGAGATACCTGAGTCCAGATAGGAGCAAGGTGATTGACATCTATGGGGATCAGGTTACAACAAAGGAATGTTACTCGGTGACTCTGAAAGCCGTAGGGAATGGAAAAGCTCCCATCTGATTTGTTAGTACATAATAGCAATTAAAGAAACCTCCCCCCAGCACGAACGGGGAGTAGGAGCTTCCGGTGCTAACCGAGGAACCCCTAGTTGAAGTTCAAATTGATCATTTGAGGCCAGACCGAACCACAAAGGTAGGTTCAGGGCTTTCCGAGGAAGAAAAATGCCAGTTGATTAATTTCCTTTCCCAGAACACAGATGTATTCGCTTGGAGCCATTCGGACATGCCGGGGATCGACCCCTCTGTCTCTTGTCATTCTCTTAATATAGATCCGAGCGTTAAGCCTGTGAGGCAGAAGCAGAGAAGGTTCGCCCTGGAACGCAACCAGATCATTGCAGACGAAGTTAATCGATTGTTAGAGGCTGGGTTCATTAGAGAAGTACAGTACCCGATTTGGTTGTCGAACATGGTTGTAGTGCAAAAGAGGAATAGAAAATGGAGAGTTTGCATTGATTTCACCAATCTGAATAAAGCCTGCCCGAAGGATAGTTTTCCACTTCCAAAGATTGATCAAATGGTGGATGCAACAACTAGGTATGAGCGAGTGACCTTTTTGGATGCTTATTCAAGTTATAATCAAATCCCAATGGACCCAAATGATGAGGAAAAAACCTCTTTTGTCACTGAACGAGGGATCTATTGCTATAAGGTCATGCCGTTCGGACTAAAAAATGCCAAAGCTACGTACCAAAGGTTGTTTAGCAAGATTTTTTAGGATCAAATGGGCAAGATGGTGGAGGCTTACATCGATGACATGGTGATAAAAAGCAAACAGAAGGACCATCACTTAAAGTATTTGCAAGAGGTGTTCGGCGTACTACGAAGGTATGGAATGAGGCTTAATCCAACTAAGTGCTCATTCGGCGTAGGATCTGGGTAATTCCTTGGCCACGTGGTCAATAATAGAGGGATTGAGGTCAGCCCAGCCCAAGCGGAAGCTTTGCTAAAAAATTCCAAACCAAACACTGTCAAGGAAGTCCAAGCTCTCACCGGACGCATAGCGGCACTGAGTCGATTCATCTCTAAGTTATCCGACCAATGCAAGCCATTCTTTGCTACAATCAAGAGTCATGGAAAATAGTCCTGGTGGGATGAACAGAGACAAGCGCTGACCAAGTTGAAAGAATATATGCGGAACCCACCAGTCTTGAATGCCCCAGAACCAGGTGAAAAACTTTTCTTGTGCCTTGGAGTTTTTAAAATTGCAACCAGTGGTGTACTGATACGATATGTAGAAGGTAAGCAGTTCCCAATTTTCTATGTAAGCAAAACATTGACCGAGCTAGAGAGAAGGTATTCAAAGGCCGAACGATTAATCTTATCCTTGGTAAATGCAAAGAGGAAGCTCAGGCATTACTTCGAGTCCCATCCTATAGTTGTTATGACCACATTTCCCATAAGGGTGATCTTGCATAAGCCCGATTTGTCCGGACGAATGACGAAGTGAGCAATAGAGCTAAGTTCTTTTGACATAACGTATGAACCCTGAACAGCCATCAAAGGGCAAGCTATGGCTGATTTCTTACTGGAGTGTGATATGGATGAGCTAGTAGAGTGTCCTGAAGAATCTTCGTGAAAGCTCTTCGTTGACAGCTCTTCAAATCAAATGGGGCAGGAATTGGGGTCAAGTTACAAACACCAGAAGGCACTACGCTGAGCCAAGCAATCAGACTTGAGTTCAGGGTAACTAATAATGAAGTAGAGTATAAAGCGCTGCTGGCTGGGTTGAAGTTGGCCAAGGAGCTAAAACTCAAAAGCTTAATCACTTTCAGTGATTCACAGTTGATCGTTCGGCAAGTAACTAGGGAGTATAGAACCAAGAATGAAATGATGGAGGCATACCGTTCAGCCATTATATTCGAGGCAGGAAGTTTTGATCAAATCAAATTCATTCAATTGCTGAGGGAGCATAACGAAGATGCCGATCGGTTGGCCTGTAGTGCGTCTAATTCAGGCGAAACATTGGCAAGGGTGATTCCGGTTGGTGTATTATGCCAGCTATCTATCCTTGAGGAACCATCGACCTCGGATCCATGGCAAGTGAATGTCATACCATATGAGCTGAGCTAGATAGATCCAATTATGGCGTATATACGAGATGGTGTTTTGCCCGAACAAAGGGATGAGGCAAGAAAGATCAAATCGAATGCTGCAAAATATGCCATAGTGCACAATCAGTTGTATAGGATATCTTATTTAGGACCTTACTTAAAATGTGTTACCCCTGCAGAGGCTCGGCAGATACTGCGAACTATCCATGAAGGAGTTTGTGGTAATTATTCAGGGGGAAGGTCTCTAGCACACAAAGCGATGACACAAGGGTATTTTTGGCCAAACATGTCACGAGAGGTGGAGGAATTCTCGAGAAGGTGCGATAAGTGCCAAAGGTTTGGACAACTGGTCCACCAACCACCAGAAGACTTGCACATAATGGCCAAACCATGGCCTTTCGCGCAATGGGGGATGGATGTGGTTGGCCCATTACCGACCGCCAGATCACAAAATAAGTACATTCCACTTGTAACAGACTACTTTACCAAATGGGTGGAGGCCAAACTGTATCCCAGTGTGACTCAGACCCATGTGAGACGGTCCATTTGGAGTAATATCATCTGTCAATTTGGTGTGCCAAGGTCGATCGTTATGGACAATGGGACTAATCTTGATAGCAAGCAGGTGAGGCAATTGTTGGAGGAGTATGGAATCAATCAAAAGTTAGCAGTAGTCAGCCATCCATGGGCAAATGGTTAGGCTGAGATCATGAACAGAACGATCTTTGCTTGCATAAAGAAAAAGCTTGAAGAAGAAAAGGGGAAGTGGTTGAATAAACTCCCGAATGTCCTGTGGGCATATAGAACAACTCCTAGACAACCGACCGGAGAGAGCCCATTTGCCATGGCATATGGTACTAAGACAGTAATACCAGTTGAGCACCAAGTTCCTACAGTTTGGAGCTTAGCGTGGAATCAAGAGCAGAATGATCACATGTTGAAATTCAACCTCAACCTACTTGAAGAAAAGAGGAATGCAACAGCAATAAGGCTCGCGTCATACCAACAGACGTTTATGAACAGTCACAATAGAAAGGTGAGGCATAGGGACTTTGCACCTGGTGATTTAGTTCTGAAAAGAAAAGTTTGAATTATCAAGAAAATGGTGTCACTGTGGGAAGGACCGTATAGAGTTGCAGAAGTTATAGGAAAGGGGGCATATGTCTTGGAGACCATGGCTGGAAGGCTGGTAAATAAGCCATGGAATGCCTCATCTTTGAAAAGGTATTACCAGTAGGAAATTGAGGAGTGAGTTCTAACCTGGTTAGTGTTTATTTCCAATTATGTGCTTACAAATGTATAAAACTTCAAAAGATCTATAAAAAGTGCTATTTTCTTCCAAAAAGATGATCGAGTGTTGAGCAATTAAGCAAAGTAAGTGGCAATTGGCACTATGAGCCGAACGTCAAACACTTGCTAAAAATAAAAAGGCAAGTGACATTCAGCCAAGCACCAGGCACTTAGTGAAGTAAGTGGCAGCTGGCACTATGAGCCGAACGCCAAATACTTGCTAGAAATAAAAAGCCAAGTGACTAGTGGCATTTAGCCGAGCGCAAGGCACTTAGTGAAGTAAGTGGCAGCTGGCACTATGAGTCGAACGGCAAAAATTTGCTAAAAATAAAAAGCCAAGTGGCAAGTGGCATTCAGCCGAGCGCCAGGCACTTAGTGAAGTAAGTGGCAGCTGGCACTATGAGCCAAACGCCAAACACTTGCTAAAAATAAAAAAGCCAAGTGGCAATTGGCATTCAGCCGAGCGTCAGGCACTTAGTGAAGTAAGTGGCAGCTGGCACTATGAGCCGAACGCCAAACACTTGCTAAAAATAAAAAGGCAAGTGGCAAGTGGCATTCAGCCGAGTTCCAGGCACTTAGTGAAGTAAATGGCAGTTGGCACTATGAGCCGAACGCCAAACACTTGCTAAAAATAAAAAGCCAAGTGGCAAATGGCATTCAGTCGAGCACCAAGAACTTAGTGAAGTAAGTGGCAGCTGGCACTATGAGCCGAACGCCAAACACTTGCTAAAAATAAAAAGCCAAGTGGCAAGTGGCATTCAGCTGAGCGCCAGGCACTTTAACCGAACACCAAACACTTGTGATAAATGATAAATGATAACTTAGAAGCAACGATGAAGAAAGCAATATGAGACATGAATTAGTCAAAAAATCTTCCATTCCATTAAATTCATATCCCTAAAACATTTACAAAGATAATTCTGGTGGAATGAGTAGAGTATACAAAGGAAGATGATACATTTATAGGTAATTATTCAGTCATGTTCATACCCTCGGTCTCTTGCTCACGCTCGACATTCCCCTCACCTTCATTGACTGTACTCTCCTCTCGGGGGGGAGAGTTAAATTAGATGATCATTCCATCCAGCTGGGTTCTGCCCTGAGCAACAAGCGCGGGAGGAACCATGGTGGAGAGAGGAGGAATATCCAAGGGTTAAATGGCTGAAGGAACAGGAATAACACCTGAGGAAGTAATCTCCTAGTACTCATCAAAAATACGCTCGGTAGGAGTGGAATCCGGATCAGCATAAATTTCGGGGGGATCGATCTCCAGTTCCTTGTCGATATCATCTGGATTGGCGCCTGAACTGGTCTGACCCTCTGCAGGAAGATGACTGTAGCCCTCCCTGTACCCCTCAGCATACCCGAGGGCTCCGATCCTGGAGAAGTGACCATGCAGAGCTGTCACTCCGCTGTTAACCTTGCCGATGACGCTGAGCAAGGCATTACACTCATCCAGAGCCCTTTTCTCAAAGCCTATACGTTCTGCCTGTTTGTTATAAAGCAAGCATTGAAGGTTGTCTCTTTTAGCCTTAAGAGATTCGCGTTCGGTCTGCCAGACACTCTTCTCAATCTAAAGGGCATCCCTCTCATCTTGAAGGGAGTCCGCTTCCTTCTTCAGACTATCCCTTTCATTCTCAACCTTGTTTAGCTGCACCAT